TCCTCGTGCTCAGGCCCCAAGAAGGCCCTGGGGACGAGAATGCGATACCGTAGTTTGTGCTGGAAGTTCTCTGATCGTGCACAATCCTTTGTTTTTTTTTTGTTCAAAAATTGACTGAATAAGTTAACGCGATGTTTCTATTGGTCAGTAAGTTCAAAATGATAGGAATGCCATTGAACGTTGTGCAGGGTCAGGTCCAAAGAGGCTAACAAAAACATATAACAAAGAAGTCTCTAGGGCTTATCATAGCCATTCCACTTTATTAACTATGATCGAATTAACAGATCACGATTGGAGACGCGCTCTTGATTAAAAGAAAGATGTGGTTGTGGCTTTCATCGATCTATCAAAGGTTTTCGACTGCATTTGCCATAATTTGCCCCCTACAAAATTAAAAGCATATGGCGTACAAGAGCCAGCCCTTCAACTTATAAGATCATATTTGCATGACCGCAAGCAAAGGGTGATATGCAACGATTAATGCTCTAACTGGTCACCTTTACGCTGTGGTGTCCCTCAGGGTACTCTCCTTAGTCCACTATTGTTTAACATCTTTATGAATGACATGAACGAAAACGTTACCATCTCGTCACTCCGCTTCTACGCAGACGACACTACCTAATACGCGGCGGAGAACAGCCCAATTGTGCTTCAATACAGTCCTTAAATAAAGACATGGAAAGTATTCATCGTGGCTTGACCACAATTACCTTCATACCAATGGGGACCACACACAAGGGATGATCAGCCTTGGAAACTCATCTTACTTTTATAACCTAGAATTTGATGGCATCTCCATCATTCTCAAAGAACACTTAAAGATTCTTGGAGTATACTTCGACGATCAATTATCTTTCAAAGAACATAAATATATTGCTAAAGAAAGCACACGCTAAGTTAACTGCACTTCGACGCCTTAAGGTGACTCGACCCAGTTTTTTGGGGGGTACCATGCTACTTTGAAGCTCTCTGGTATCCCCGCCTTTACTTTTATTGTAAGTCTAACACATAGAATGGATAACATATAAATCAATCTACAATATAACATAAAATTTTTGGCGATCAGAGTAAATGTCACGTGGTTATAATGCCACGCCCCTTTGAGGTCTGAGTCGAAAATCTGCTGTTGCCGGCATTTTTTCGTGAAAATCTCTCGGCTACACATAGTGCGCATTAGTGCCTTGCACTGAACAGAGTTTCACCAAAATCGCAAAGACCCAATTCCAGAAATTCAGCGGTTTCCAAATTTAGGTCATAATTTACGCGAAAATGATAAGCAAACTTTACACGATTATATCTAATAAACTAAGAGACTTATCCCTTTATTTTTGAGATCGTTATAACAGATGGGTCTTTGCAAGTCAGCAAAAAACTTTAGGGCCTTTTAAATGCGTGCGAATTTGGGCAAAGCAAACATATAGAAATGATAGTTTTAGCTACTTGTTGGCGTTTGTCAGCGTTTAAGAGTCCTTCTCATGAAAAAAGCATTTTCTTAAAAATTCGTAGTTTTTTTCCCTTCAATTTTTTTTTTCAGGGCCACAATTGATTAACTAACTACCCGGATTCTGAATTTCATGGTCATTGAAAAACTGTGACATTATCTTCTATAAGCCCAAACTTGAGTAAACATTGAAGATTTTTAGCGTTTTGGCTGAGTTTGTGCTTTGGGAGTTGTCTATTGTTTCTAGTCTGTCATGATACAGCATTCTTGTTCAGCACGCGTGCAATGACCGCGCTTGGCTGACTTCCGAATGCTCATGTTCGCGTTTTTGTGTGTTATTGCTCCACAATCGTGGCACGGAAGAAAGCCCTCTTTCATGTTATTTCTCTCCTCGGGGATCTGGTGATCACATATAGGACAAATCTTGTATGAATCGTGCCAAGAGCAATTAGGGCATTTGATGATCAATGTCCCGTACACATTAGAATTCTCACAATGTTCACGCGGATTTTCAGAGTGAAAGGTGGTGGACGTTTCATGGCTATTACTTTCTGTTTCCTCACTGTCGTTTTAAGTGTCGTTGTCGTTCTCTTGGGTGTCTTCAGCTTCACTGTCATTCTCAGAAGCCACTTCCTTCTCGATCCTCTAGATTTTCAATATCCGATGAACTGTCCTCAATATTACTCTCGTTTTCGGAAGTAATTTCTGCATTTCGATAGCCTTTTTCCTTTTCTATTAAATCGCTTAGCAACGTTTTGTTCTTGATTAAACCTTTATCGATCCCTAACCCTGCAAGTCAATCTAGAAACGTATTCAGCGCACGAGGCTTGGTAACTTCATTGTTATGAGGGAGTAACACATACTCAACTAGCTCGGCGATGTTTGCGACGGGAATTATACGTTTATTTCGAAGTAATTGTCCGCGGGGGAAGCGGCCATACTATGCAGCAAATCAGAAGCACGCTTTTACGACACCGCTCGGGAAAGATGACTCAAAAATCTTTAATTCTTGGTTCTTCATCTTCGCTTTCATCACGAGAACTTTCGCTTTCTTCATGTTCACTCTCGTGCTCTTCTTCAACCAAATCTATCTTTTTCTTCATTTTTATGAGTACCGGTGGGAGACGTGGCTTCGAATGACCAACTTTGCGATGCATCACCTCTTTTATAGCATTAGAAAGCCTAAGCTTGAAACAACAGGAGCCAGGAAGTCTTTAATAAAACCCCTACCCTGTTGCACAAGAGCTCGCTTCTTTGTTTTATAGGAGACATCTGGTCTGGCCAGGTTAAGTAAAGCATCCCTATATGACTGCAATATCCGCCTATTTTCTTCGGGGATGGAAAAGTGTCCCAAAAGTATATTTATAAGACTTGGACTAGTGCATGTAGTTGTTGTGGAGTGGCTGTCTTTAAAAGAAACTGATGAACAGGGCAATCAGCTAACAGACGAAGGAAACCACGATTGTTGTTTAGTACACGAGACATTGCTACCAAATGAACTAATGATGGCAGTTGGTAGTCTTTTATAGAATCTCGAGGAGAAGAAAAATGAAACGAGTAGGAGGAGGATAGAAAACAATAGAAATGTGGATGTGGTGGCAGTGGTGGTAGTTAAGGGAAAACAATAGAGAGTAGTGGCGGTGGCGGTGGTGGTGGTGGTGGAGGAGGAAAACAATGGGAATGTGGTGGTGGTGGAGGGAAAACAATAGAATTTTATGGCCTGAAAACCTATATAAAAGCGCAACATGTCACCTCTATCTCAGTCTACATTCTGCTCCTGAGGAGTTGACATGAGTTGGTTCTGTTCTGTCTGCGAAAAGTCCTTTAGTCGAAAGGAAGTATGAAAAGGCACATGATGTCTAAAAACCGCAATGCTGGCATCACCCCATTTCGAACAGTTCCAACTGTGTTTTCACAGAAATGTCAGCGGTTTCGCTTCGAGCATCCTTTTACCTCCATGATTGCCGGAATGACTAGGTCCGGAAAAACGGCATGGGTTCGATCTCTATTACAGCAAGCTTCAAAGGCAATTTACCTTCCCCGGGAGAGAATCAATTGGTGTTATTCACAATGGCATTCTGCGTATGCAGAAATGCTAGTGGCCATGCCACACATTGAATTCGTCAAGGTAATCCAAGGCTTTGGAGCAGGATTCCTATTTTGATGTGAACAAACGGAATTTGATCGTGTTTGATGATCAGATGATTGACGCAAGTAAAGAGAAGCGAATTGTGACCCTCTTTACTCGTGGTTCTCATCATCGCAATCTAAGCGTGATTTATAGCGTGCAGAATCTATTCCATCAGAAAAAAGGTAATCGCAGCACAAGCCAAAACAGCCATTATTTGGTGTTATTCAAGAATCCACAAGAGAAATTGCAAATCTTGACTATGGCCAAGCAAATGTATCCCGGGCAAACTGATTTCTTTTTAAATCAGTGCTAAGAAGCTGTAAAAAGACCTTTTGGTTATCTGCTGATTGATCTGAAGACTAATACCCAAGATAATTGTCGACTGCGAACAAACGTCCTTCCCAGTGAGGAAGGCTTTTACAAAGCAGGGTTTTAAGAAAATATTCCTCAAGAGCTTCGAATATCTAAAGCAAAATCTTTCGCCTGTCCCGCTTTTTCCAGCTATGCAAGAAACGATCGAAACGATCTTCGGGACGATGAGAAAGCTAAGCGATACTTTCAGTTACAAAACAGATACCTAACCCGTCATTATGACGTAATTATGACGCATTTCGTGACGAAAAACGCGTCATAGCACCACATACACTAAGTAGAAAAAACTACAATTTTGATTTTAAGTAACTTTGTCCTTGCTCCCTCGCCAATACATTTATTTTTCTTGCGTTTAAAATACCCCTAATTTTGACCATATATGGTCATTTGGCCGTAAATTTGAATTTCTTTAATTAGCTGTAACTTTACGTCTTTTTATCTGCTTGCAATAACGTTTTCACCAGAAATCATAGATTTCTATACAGAAAACTAATATAAAATTTTTACCTTTTCTTTCCTGAATTTTTATTCTGATGCCAAATTTGGACATCATTTATGACGTCACAATAGCAGTCTCATGGGATGAAAAAAAAATTAACAGGTAAACCTTCGTCCCTGCCAAGTTTTGTCACATTCGATGCATTCTACTTCTGTCTATGGCCTAAGACTCTCAGTTTTGAGAGGTATGGGAGGAAAAGCCCTACGAACCGACCACCGTGCTTGCTTAACTGTCAAATAGACCTCATGGTGTTGCGACGTCATTACTAGCACTTGCCTGAACATTTTTACCATAAATTAATTAAAACAAGTTTCCCGCGTATTTTATCCATGACGCATTTATTAAATTTTGATCCCCCAAAATTCGGCTAATTCTGCTGGAACACCACTACTATTATGTGCTGACTCGACGTTACATTATTAATACGTTATGGTAAATTTACAAATGAACATAAAAAGCATCTCATATGTGTATAAATACAAAGACACGTCGATACTTCCAAAAGGTAAATAATGGAGTTGAAAATCCTCTTGAACATACATAGACCTCTTTTAAAGTTAGTTTTCATTTTGTCTCATTTTAAGCAGTTCCATCATAACTTTGCGTAGATCTTTGTTTCTCCAACAGTGAATAACAGGATTAAGGAGCGAGTTTAGCAAAATACACGACAAAACGAGAGCCCTCAGATTCGTCTGCCGTATATCGCGGGAAAATATCCCGTACAAAAGTGATGGCACAAACGAAAGGAACACGAACGCGATAATTATACTTGTAGTTTTTATGGCTTTCTTCTCCTCTACGAATTTAGTCTTCGTTTCGCTTGGAAGTTGTTCTGTCTTTATGCGACGCATATGTCGGCGTGAAACAAGGTAAACTGTCGCATGACAGAATACAATAATTACAATGGCTGGGATGACAGTTACATAAACGAATACTTCAGCAAATGAATATGTTACCGGTATTAACCATAAAATTACAGAAATAACTGAGATAATCCAACTACAGAGTACAGCGCCAATTAACCTAGGTGTGGTTATGAGGCTAGCATATCTTAGTGAGAACTTCATGGCTATATACCGCTCGATACTCAGTAAAGCTAGGATCAGCAACGATTCAATACTTGGGAAAAGACAAAAGAATACGGTCTTCCTGTAAAACTGGCAGTAATCCTCCACCGATGTACCTGAGAGAAAGAGGATTTCTTGAGCGATGAACAATGATTGTGAAACTAAGCCAACTGCCAGATCTGTTCCCGCTAAACAGGCCAGTAGTATGTTGTAGATGGACTGTAATCGGCGTCTTGCTTTTACGGCGATGATAACTAACGCATTCATCAAGATGATAATAGGGCATGATCCTAAATTCAGCGCGATAACAGGTAAAGTAGCGAGGATGTACTCCCAAAAATACCGCTCTTTTGCCACGCGACAACTAGCAACATTCTTAGTGGCTAAGGAATTAGTGAAATTCATCGCTGCTGTTTGGGACTGAATATGTCCGTTACTGCTCGATTCTTTTTCGGCTCTTTTAATGCGTCGACAACGTTCGTTATTGAAAGGACTCTGTTACTTCAAGATTCGAAGCGCAAAGCTCTACATGCAGATGGTCAAAATGTGTCTAATATTTAAAGGCTGATTGCTTTCAAAGGATTGATTTAAGTAGGGCTTACAGATTCAATCTGAATGGTCCACATAATATCCCTAAATAATTATTTGTCTTATTGACAGGCTCAGTCCCCGGGTTCTCCTCGACAGGGTGTTCGTGTTTTTTTATAAAGTTGTTAAAATGCTTTTTATTTCTTCATATTATGTGTTTTTACTCGAAATATAAAATCTATTAACTAGGTAAAAATGCCTTCTAATATCTGTCATTACTGTCATTATAGCAACTCGATCATTTTATAGGTAAAAGAGAGAATATTGAAAGTTACTTATTTTCGGAAAAGAATAAAATAAGCGAACTTCACTGACAAACTAGGTATATATGAATATTTAAAAGCTTAACTTAAATCTGAGGAAATTTGAAAGTTATAGCTCCCAAGGATTTTCAGATTTAATTTCCGTGATTCACGTTAGATTCTAGGGAAATATCCTAGGAGATAAATTACGATTTTTTAAAAAAGCTAATACATTACGTACATATAGGAATGTCAAACTGTTGTTTTTGCTTTGTTTTGTTTTGCTTTTGCTCTTATTTATAATTGACATCAGACAGAGTATAGAAATTTTAATATTTTTCATCGATAAGGAGGAAATTTCAGTATTTGACATAATGCAAAGTATAGAAATTTTGTTATTTGACAATTTCCAAGAATGGGAAAGTTTTAAATTTAATTTAATTCAATTTCCTTATTTGATATTATCCAGCACATAGAAATTCTAATATTTAACATTCGCAATAACAAAATTTCCATATCTTATACCATGTAGAACATAGAAATTTCAATATTTCACATTCATGAGAGAGAGGATATTACGTGGCCGCGCGGAGATACGAAATTTCTCTTCGAGTGTTGAAATTTCGTGACTCCAAGCGACCATGTAATTTTCTTTTTATTATAAAAAATCCTCACAATAAAACAAAAGACGCTTTATTCTTTATTTTAAACCTTAAGGTTTGAAATTGCCTACAATGGCTTACAGTCAGTTGTATCAATCGGAAACAAAGTCTATGTAAATAGAAAATGTATGAACAGGTAGACCCTTGGTATAAACTTAGGGCACAAAAAATTGACTAACATTAACAAGTAACATACCATTCTATTCAAGCTTACTCCTGGCTTTCATGGCTTTCATTGATCAGATATCTCTGGATACTTGAAAGAAATCCTCTTAAACTTGTGGGTTCATAGTCAGAGTTATCTTTTTTTCCTAGGCTAAAGATGAATTTCGAAAGGTAGTTGTTTAGAACTTGTGGTGAAAGCTCTTGAAATGTTGCGTAAGCTTTCTATTTATGGTATTAACAGGAACTCTTAAAAGTGGTTTGAGTCGTATTTAAGCAATCGAAGCCAGAAGTGTAAGTTTAACGGTCATTTATCACAAGTGAAACAAATCACTTGTTGAGTTCCTCAAGGCTCCATCTTAGGACTGTTACTCTTTCTGATATATATGAACTATCCGCTCCCAAATTGTCTAGAGAAGGCTGCCTCTAGAATGTATGCTGATGATACTAATATTACTTCGGCTGCTTCTGACTTGAATGTCCGTGGAAGGGAGATGAAGAGCGAATTAAAAAAAATAAAAATTTGGCTTCTGGCGAACAAGTAAGTCTAAATGTTGCCAAAACTAAATTTATCTTGATTTGCACTCGCCAAAGATTACGGCTGCAAGGCAGTAAGCAATGCAAATACAAATGCAAATCGAAGGGGAAAATATCAGCCAAGATGAGAAAGCTAAATCATTGTGTGTTCTCATAGATGACAATTTGACATAGAAAAACCATGTAGACGAAATTTCTCTGGCATTGGCGCCCTAAAAAGACTTAGGCCATTCGTATCATTGGATACGGCTAAAAAGATTTATAATTCCCTCATCCAGCCACATTTTGGTTATTGTTGCACAGTCTGGGATGGCATAAATAATCAATTAATTAGGAAACTTCAAAAGCTTCAAAATCGTGTCGCCCGGGTCGTAACAAAATAGAGGTGTGTTGTTAGTTTTTCTCCACTTCTACACACACTTGTGTGGGAAAACTTGATCTCCAACAGGCAAAAGCATAAGGCCATCTTGGTTTTGAAACCTTTACGTAATCTTGCTCCAGTGTATCTCCGCCAAATGTTTTGCACATTTAGTGCTAATTATGATCCAAGAAACTTGGCACAATAAACATGTTATGCTCCCTTGAAAAACTTTATCATACTACACCCCTACCTAAAGCGAGAGTCTAGATTCGTGAAAAATTGGGATAGGAATGCTTTCCGCTTTCTCTCTTGGATGCTTGAAAAAGGTGAAACCACTTTTCCAAACAATAAATCCAACATTGATGGAACTAGCACTATCCACCTTCAAGAAGAAGACGGAAACTCATTTCTGATTCCAGCATTGCGGATACACTCAACAACTTCTTTGTGAACCCAAGAATACATAAAAAGGAAGAGGACTTCGATAACCATCCGAGCATTATAACAACTAAGGGCAAATCGTATCGAGTTGATTTCGCTTTTATGGAAATCACTACAGAAAACGTAACAGGTTGCTTATTAAAGATAAATGCTGAGAAATATACCGACCCTGATGGTTCCTCACCAAATATCTGAAAGTAGAAAGTTTTAGAATGCTAAAAGTATCTGCTTCAGCCATAGCCTCTCCACTAGCCAATCTGTATTCGCATTAGGGCTCTGCCCAGCAAATGAAAAAAGAGCAATGTCACCCCTTTCGACAAAAAGGGTGAAGCGACAGACCAAAATAATTACCGACCTGTCAGTTCCCTCTCCGCAGTCTCCAAGCTTTTCGAAAAAGTGATGTTTGATAAACTGTACACTTCCTTTGCATCAAATTTCTCACTTAATATGTCGTGCTTTCTCAAGGGACATTCTGGCGCTACAGCGTTGATAAAACAAACAGATCATGATTGGAGGCGCGCTCTTGATGAAAAGAAAGATGTGAGTGTGGCTGCCATCGATCTATCAAAGGCTTTCGACTACATTTGCCACAATTTGCTCCTTGCAAAATTAAAACCATAGGGCGTACAAGAGCCAGCCCGTTCAAATTATAAGATCATATTTTGATAACCACAAACAAAGGCTAATAAGGAACGATTCATGCTCTAACTGGTCACCTCCACGCTGTGGTGTCCCTCAGGGTACTCTCCTTAGTCCCTTATTGTTTAACATTTTTATGACTGACATGAACGAAACCGTTCCCGTCTCGTCACTCCGCCGCTACGTAGACGACACTACCCAATATGCGGCGGACAACAGCCCAATTGTGCTTCAATACACCTTAAATAAAGACATGGAAAGTATTTCATCCTGGCTTGACCACAATTATCTTCATGCCAATGGAGACTAGACACAAGGGATGATCGGCTGTGGAAACTCATCTTACTTTTATAACCTAGAATTTGATGGCATCTCCATCAAAGAACACTTTAAGATTTATAAGAATATATATTGCTAAAGAAAGCATACGCTAAGTTAACTACACTTCGACGCCTTAAGCGCTTAGTTCCAACAAATACTTTATTTGTCCTTTACAAGAGCTTTGAATTGTCGCATTTTGAATATTGTAATTCGTTAGTTATCGGCGTTAACAAGACACTCAAAAGAGAATTGGAAGATAATAATCATTACGGGTTAGGAGCAATAAAGAACACTGGAAAAAGTTCTGATTATGAGTCTCTTTTCAAGATCGAAGATATGAATTCACTTGAACACAGACGTATAGAACTGAATCACTGACAACATTCTTTAAATGTTTTAAGGAGAATGGATCCAAATGGATCATGTTATATAGGTAATTTACTTAAACCTCGGTCACACCTTACGATCTTAGAAGTAATGGGCTGAATGTAGAACAAAGTCCTTTCAATAGTAAGTTCTTTCATGATTCGTTTATGCATATATTATCCAGACCCTGAAATAAGGTGGGGGTTGGGGGGGGAAGCCGGTCTCACAGAAAACTTTCTTCGGCCCTTCGGGTCTCAGTTTGGTCTAAAGATAAGGGGGGAGGCTGGGCCCCCGGGTCCCTCCCCTGGATCCCCCACTGTTATCTCTCCTATCTGAAACCGACTGCAAGCATTCGTAAAGAACGCCCGTGATGTTGCATCTTTTCGCAGACATTAAAGAAACTGAACTTCAATACACCTATCAATATTATGCCGGCGGAGCAGGGAGGTGAGGGATGGGGTGGGGATTTGATTGGCGTTGTTGGACCTGGGGTAGGGCATTTGACTGAGCTTGTTCTCCCAGGGGAGGGGATATTTGAATCTTTCTTCGCCCGACGTGAAGACTGACGACTCGGACGAAAAAGACTGAGACCGAACATATGTTTCCCACTTCCACGCTTCACGCATGCGCCGTACGGTCTGGAAAGATCTGGAAATCATGGAGACCAACGAGAACAAGTGAAAGCTGAGTGGGTTTCACTGTTTAGTCTTCAAATTTCGTATCATGTGTTTTAGCGTGCTTTTGATCAATTGAACTTCTTAAGATACTGTGGTATCAAAGTAAACGAAAGTAAAGAGAAACCAAGTCCATTTTTGCTAGTACAGTTGATCAGTGTATCTATGGCTCATTCCCTACAATCACTGTAAGCTTATAAAATTGACTTTCTTTGTACCCTTTACTAAGAACGGTATATTCAAACTTACAAAATGTGGACTTTCTCCAAAAGGTTTCTGTATTCTACGCAGTGTAACATGGATTATGGTTAAAATGTGTAATTGCAGCTGAAACTGCACATGTACTGGTGATGCAGCAACGTAATATAAATAAAGATTGCAGAGTTTTATTTGGAGACATTTTTAGTGTGCGTTTATTGGGTTCTGCCTTCGGATATTTGACAGTAATGTGCAGCCCGGAGTGGGTAAATTTGGTTGCAATTGACTGGAATGATTTGCCTGTGAGCAGGGAATTTGACTGCAAATTTTTGAAAAATGTCAAATCCCCACCTCATGCCCTGCCTACCCCCCGCTCCTCATAGGTAATAAACGACCAGTCCTTTCGTGCTTGTAAACCATGTACATGAACTACAGCTAAGCAATGCCGTCATTTTAAGTCATCTTCCATGTTTTCTGATCTTGATCAGTTCCAGCATAACTTTACGTAGATCTTTGTTTCTCCAGCAGTATATCAGCGGATTAAACAGAGAGTTCAAAAACACGCGCAAAAATGCTATAGACAATAAACGTATCTGCTTTTCATACTGATTCTTGGGGAGGATACCGATTAACCTAAACAAGCCGTCCAAAATGCCTGGTATATATGAAAAAAATAGAAAAGCGAGAATTATACTGATGGTTTTCAAGGCTTTCCTTTCCTCGAGGAATTTGGCCCTCGTTTCGCTTGGAAGCTGTTGAGTTTTGATCTGATTCACATGTCGGCGTGAAACAAAATAAACTGTTGTATGACAAAACATAATCACTAAAATGGCAGGAGTAACAGTTAGATACACAAGACGTCCTGAAAGCGTGGAACGTGTCGCTGGTATCATCCAGAAAATGAAAGACATAGTTGAAATAAACCAACTACAAACTACAGCGCCAAATAACTTAGGTGTGGTCACGATGCTAGCGTATCTAAGAGAATACTTCATGGCTATATAACGCTCAGTACTCAGTATAGCTAAGATCAGCAACGATTCAATACATGGAACAAGATAAACGAAAACTATTCGTCTATAGAAGCGGCAATAATCCACCAGTGATGCACCCGACAGAAAATAGATTTCTTGTGCGATGAACAACGGCTGTGAAACTAAGCCCACCGCCAGATCTGTTCCTGCTAAGCAAGCCAGTAGTATGTTGTACTCGGACTGTAATCTGCGTCGTGTTTTTATCGCTACGATCACCAACACGTTCATGAAGATGATAACAGGGCATGATCCTAAGTTCAGCGTGATAGAAAACAAACTTGCGATAGTGTTCACCAAAATGTATATATACTCGTCTTCTCTACTGCGGCAAATAATTGATACGTTAAGTGCAGAATTCTGACTGACGTTAACGTTCATATCCATTTTTCTTGCGAGAATCTCACTGTCTTTGAAGGAGTTAATATTATTCAACTTGTAATTAAGTAAACAGCGATCAAGAAGAGTGAAACGACTCTGAACGCTGATCTCGTGAAAGATAGATCGATACATCATGTTCAAAGTCACTGAAGAGTATTTTTAACGGCTTTCTAAAGTCGTTAAAAGTTTTGAAAGCTGATATAAGGCAAGAATAAATCCTTCATTACTTGTGATTTCCTTTCTGCAAAATATTTAGAATTACAATGACGACAGTCTTTAAATAAAGAAAGTTGAAGACGAATTACAAGAGATTAACGCCAAAGGACGTCTTCTTTCAAATACACACTTTACCCATACAAGCGGAAGGCTGTATAGTTAACGAGCGATTAAAAAATAGCCTTAAATTTAAAATTAAAGCTTATATTAGTTCAGAGCAAACCTCGGTAATAAATCGCCTCTCAAAAGAAAATTATGGGCAGCTATTCTTTTGCTGAGTCATTCATGGCTCTAAGTACCAAAAGCCGAGAAAAAAAAAGAAAATGCCAAAATTGAACTTATCAGATGTGTTTTGGAAGGCTTAGAAATTGGTCACTATAATTCATCCATTCTTCCTGATAATTTTGGAAACGCTCCATAGTCCCTTCTCAGAATCCACGGATTATACTGCCACACGTTAATAAAAGGTACTTCTTGTCGGTTTACCTGAATGATCCTCGATAAAAATGCCTTACTGACAAATCTCCCATCATTTTTAATTAGTAAGTTCTTCAAAAAAATGCTAAGTACATAATCCTTCCTGGATATTGGGCCATTTTCAAACAAACATCATCAGTTTAAGCACTTAAAAGCTCCCCTGGGTTTTGTGAGTTGTGTTTTTACTTTCACTCAATAGGATGATTGATACTGAATTGATTCTGAAAGTGGTATGACGCAGATAATCTATGACAATACACCTTGCAATGCAAAAAGCTATATTAAAACACACGAAATATAAGAAAAATATATTTTATAATTCATAAAGGAGATACAGAATTATTTGCTTAATATTCTATGAGTTTTTCTTTTCATGTGATAAGGGCACTGCTAAGTTTTAAGCTCTGATCTTTTTCTCCTAAGAATTTTTTTTCTTCTTGCGATTATTGAAAAAATGAACCATGAATCCATCGATCTAGAAGTCTCTTAACTCTCCAATGAACTCCTCCCTTTATAAAAAACTGAGTGAAATCAATTTTATCAATTAAGGGTGAAAGACAGCACAGCAAAAAAAAGTAGGCGCTTGCATTAATGCCAAAATAAGAACTGAAATTTGCGGTACACACTGGGCGCTTTTCATTCCATTCAACGTGCCCAATGGAACGGTAAACTATACATCCAGGTTGCACAGACCCGACCCAAGCCACCGCGCGTTTGGTTATTTTTCTTGTAAGCAGGACAAGAATGAAATGAGTCAAAGACTGGTCAAAGACAAACTTTAATTTGTGTCGACCTAAATTAAGTTAAGTTCGTCTTTTGGGTCAGACGTAGAACTTTAGGACGCGTCGCACGAGGCAACTGAATCAGATCATTAATAAATTTTCTCCCGAAAGAGGCTAAATACACTTTTAATTTATTATCTTAGTTCGTCGCATGTGAAGATCGACGTTTGGCCCAGGAGACGATCTTCAGACGGATAGAACGTGTTGGACGCCCGGCAAACTCATTCAGACGAACTTAACTGAGCCAGACGTCGAACATTTCAATCATGCCTTTAGCTCACTAAGTTTGGTTCGTCTCATGAAAAGTTCGATGTTTGGCCTAGGCCTTGGTTATATTTACAAGAGACGATTAATTCTGAATCTGGTACGTGACGTAAAGGATAAAGGAAGGATTAAAACGCACAAGTATAAAAAATTTCATTTAGATTAATAATTCATAACGAAAATATAACAAAACAATTAATGCTTAATGGTGTTTGTTTAACCAAGCCAAAGCTGTTTGTTTGGGTCAAATTTTCTCGGCATGCAACAGCATTAACAGAAACGTCTAGTAGTTGTACATTATTGTTTGGATGAATCACTCCTGGTTTATTACACATCACATAAAGTATATATTACAATTACAAAACTGAGCAAAATGAAATTGTCGGTAAATCACCATATAAAGAACCTCTATTAAGTCACCATTTGTCTCTCCCCTGAAGATGGCAGCTTAATAAAAGTTCCATCTTGTAATGAACAGGGAACTGAATTGCCCCCCCCCCCAAAAAAAAAATTAAGACAGAATCCACCAGGAAATTGAATAATTTTAATTTTCAGTGGACAAAAACCTTGTAACAGAATAATTTATGAAATATTGCATTCTTTTTTACAGTTTTGAGGGGCTAAAGATGTATTTTGTCATGTAATAACACCAAAGAAAATTTCTCATGGGAGTCTGAGAAAATGAATGTCAGATTTTACAAGAATTGTGAAAACAAAGGTAAAATTCTAAAAAATTCATGTGTAAGATGTCATTTTATGAACTTTTTTTTCTCGAGCTCAATATAAATACCCACAGCTTTGACCTCGCCAGCTGGCCAAAACGAAGCAGTAAAGTCAGTTGAAGTCAGTTATCTGATATTAGTCGTACTTTCAGTATACCTGAGCGAGAAATGTGCACTAAGAAACTAACCTTAATATCTTGAAAGGCATACCGCCTTACATATTACTCAGACCTAAGACCTCGCTGGCTCGGTATTTCCCTAACGTCCGAAAAAAACAGCACCGTTTGGTTGGTTCAGGGGCATCCAACGAGAATATAGTTCAAAACCACATAAACATAGCATTGTTGAACGTACTTTAGTATTTAAACGGTAGACAAAGGCTTTTTTTTATCCCCTAAAAATTTTTCATCTGTTCGGATTTCCTAGCTGAAAGTCTAGTGATCCGAAAATTATAGCGATCAAAATTTACCTTTTCGAAAATTTCAGCCAGAAAAAAGGCTTCCGAAAATTCTAGGTGACCTTTTTAGGGCAAAGTTTGAAAATCCTAGGAGAGGCAGGCAAGCAAGAAATTTTTCAGAAAATGATCCGAAAATTCTGGACCTCAAATCGTCTTCCGAACAGATAATTTTCCGAAAATTGTCGTTGGGTGCCCCTGTTGGTTCTCCCGTAGTTTCAGTCGCGACACGATCAGACACTCCTTGAGGACCGGTACCACACAAATTGCACAGACGATTGTTTACAAAGTCTCTTCCAAGCTATTAGCCAGTTGACAAGAGCTACAGCTTTCCCTTCCCTGATTTTTCCTAATCGTTTTCTGGCAAGAAAAACAAACCAACTTAGCAGGACTGGGATTTCTTGCAACGGCCACACAACAGAAGGGACTGTACCAATAACATCAGTGTCTCGTGTTAAGCGAAGGAGTTGAATCGGTATATTTCAAATAGCCACTCAACGACCAAGAATACCGACAATATACAGAGCGGGGACAGCTGTAGTGTCAACCATTACTGATCATTACTAATTCCTTGTGTATTCTTTTTACATCGACCACAAAGTTAATCCATGCATGTATCGCTCATCGCTGATGTAGTATACAATGAATTTCACCGTCTTATGTGCTGAATCTACATTGAATTATTAATATATCAAGGATAATTTAAAAATAAACATGGAAGGCATCTTAACATACAAGTACAAAAAAGGTCTTTTCTTCCAAAAGGTAGACATCGGAGCCCGGAATAGCTTCATCGTTATCCCCTTGAACAAGCAATGGCGTCTTCTTAAGTTACTTTCCATTTTGTCTGATGTTTATCAGTTCCATCATGACTTTACGCAAGTCTTTGTTTCGCCAGCAGTATATAAGAGGATTAAATAGAGAGTTGAAAAAAATGCATAAAAAATTGATTGGTAACCAGTATAACTGCTTTTCATAGAAATTCCAGGGTTGTACACCGGTAATTTTGATTACCCCGTGCAAGACAGATGGCATAATGGAAAGGAAGAGAAAGCCAATTATTATACTGGTAGTTTTCAAGGCTTTTCTTTCCTTTAAGAACTTGGCTTTCGTTGTGCTTGGGAGCTGTTCTGTTTTGATCTGATTCATGTGACGGCGCGAAATAAAATAAACTTTTGTGTGATAGAAAACAATAACCAAAAAGGGCGGAATAACAGTTATATACGCAAGAAGTGCTGAAAGCCCGGCGAAGCGTATTCCTGGTATTAGCGAGGTAATTAAAGGAATGGCCGAAATAAGCCAACCATAAACTACGACGCCAATTAACTTAGGTGTGGTCACGATGCTATTATATCTAAGAGAATACTTCATGGCTACATAACGCTCAGTACTCAGTATAGCTAAGATCAGCAACGATTCAATATTTGGGACAAGAAGAACGTACACTATAAGTCTGAAGAGGTAGCAATAATCCACCAGCGATGCACCCGATAGAAAGTAGATTTCTTGTGCGATGAATAATGGCTGTGAAACTACACCCACCGCTAGATCAGTTACCGCTAAGCAAGCCAGTAATATGTTATACGTGGACTGTAATCTGCGTCGTGTTTTTATCGCTACGATCACCAACACGTTCATCAAGATGATAACAGGGCAAGATCCTAAGTTAAGGGCGGTGGACAATAAACTAATGACAGTGTTCTCCAAAAAATACTCCTTGAACCTCCCGCGGCAATTGATAGAAAAATTACGTACCGAATCAGTGCTGTTGTTCATCTCTTTTTTTCAAGGGGATCTTAGGTCTTTGCAGCGTCGATATTTTGTTAGTTTCTAAGTTTGTCCGCCAGTAGATAAGCGGAGTAAACCGGCAGCTGTGACAGTCGATCTACTTAATCGATCGATACATATTTATTCCAAGGAGTGTTTTTAACGGCTTGAGAAGTGGTTTTAACGGCTTAAAAATATTGGGCTGGAACAAACCCTTCACCGTTTTTTAATTTACTCTTTGAACATATACACTTGCAATGAAATTCTTGTGATAACAAAGAGCGAATTAAATGTCATTAAGGCAGTGTTTCATGTGATAATAAATGAAAATTCGTAATAAATTGAAGTACAATTTCGGTGCTAGATCTTTCTCTTCAAACGAATGTTCTGGATACCAATAAGTCACATTTTTCAAGCAGGTATAGAAAAATGATTGGAAGAAAACAAATTAAAGTTAGAGTTTCTATGACTTAAAAACTAGACACTGTCCAACGCGGCTTTCAATAGACTACAGGTGTATGGTGGCCGACAACTGCCATTCGTCAAAACGACATAAATTTGTTAATTTTAGATTGAACTTTAATTATTTTGAGTTTAAAATGAAGTGAAAGTAAAACGCAAAGTTATTTTCTTTTCTATTGAATTGAAAATAGACTCTTTTTATTATTATTATTTTCAAGACAAAACAAAACATTTTTATTATGAAATGAAAATAAAAGTAAAAGTGAAATAAAAGCAGAAAAAAAATTGATATGTTCACGGCTAGGAACTGCCATTCAAAACAGAAAATGTCAATTAAAATTAGTATGTTCATGGCCGGGAACTGCCATTCAAGACAGAAATGTAAAATTAATATGTTCATGGCCGGGAACTGTGATGTAATCAGTATATTCTGCGGTTCGCAGAGAAGGCGCATAATGAACATGATAGGAAGAATTTTTGTATAATTCTTTCTACCTTACAAAAGCCGAATTCAATAATTGTTTTTTATTCATTCAAAATATTTCTAAGTTCTTAACGCAATCACTTCCTTGTAGACTTTCTTCAAATCATTTGCTCTTTCTTAGCCTGCATAGCAAGCGTTTCCGCGCGAGTTCGTCGAGAAAGTTGGAACGAGAGCTAAAAAAAAAAAGGAATGAGGGGGGAGGGGAAAGGGAGTGCAGCCTATTAATTTGCCTAGTAGTGCGATCGTGTACGGAGCAGTGAAAAGTGAAATAGTTTTAGAGGAATTGTGGGCAGTGACTAGGCATCTTTTAACTGACAAGTTCATTAACATGGTTCGCTCGTCTAAAGCTTTTTCACTGTCACCGATTTTAAAACAATTTTAGCGGCACGTCTTTGAACTACACAGCTCTCCAGTGACGCGCTGTTACCGACTCCGCGCAGCAATTCCACACGGTGTCACAATTATAGCCCATGACAGGACGAATATAAGCTGTGTAAATGGAATTAGCGCAGTCTGATGTGAGACTTCCCCAAACGCGTCCTAGTATTCCCCTGATACGTCCACTCTTTTATCAGCTCGGGATAACACTTACTTAACATGGGAATTCCAAGTAATATGGTTATCAAATACAACTCCTAAAAAATTGAACTCATATACACGCTTGGTGGATCGACCCTTAAAGTTACACAGCTTTACACCAAGATCTTCATCAGGAAGCTTAGTATCAATTTCCAACAATGTAGCCTTAGTCTTAAACCGCGTTTAGGAAAAGGCTGTTAATTATTTTCTCCATTACAGAGCGCCATCAGCATACATTAACAAACTACACTTGTGAGCAAAGGTATGCAAGTCGTTCACATGAAGTACCAATCGAGGAGGTCCGTGGATCGATCCGTGGGCACACCAACATAACAACAAAAGTACTTTCAGTGTCCGAAAAAGCTCCCTGGAGCCCAACAACCACTCGCACTTTTGAACATACCCTGGGCATATAGCTTCTTTTACAACAAGGAATTGTCCACGATGTCAAGCGCCTCTCGGAGGTCTATGAAAACAGTTGCAGTCACTTGATCTTGATCGATGTTACGTCTTATCGTATCAGAAAATGATAAAGCCGCAAATTCCGTAGAATGCACGCCCCGCCTCATGTAAAGAAATTCGGAATCCGAAATCCGGATCTTTGGAATGCGGAATAAAGCGCAAGGAATCAGTATCTCACTAATGAGTAAAATCAGGAATCCTGATCTTTGGAATGCGGAATAAAGCTCAAAGAATCCGGAATCCCACTAATGATTAGAATCCGGAATCCAAGTTCCACTGACAAAGAATCAAGAAGCCAGAGCGTAGAACCCAGAATTCAAAACTGTCTTGATTTCCCTTACATGGGGTGAAATGCTCTGTCCTGAAGCCACACTGATGTGGGCTCAAAATGTTAATATGCTTTCGTAAGTAATCACATGGACAGCGCTCTCCAGCAGTTTAGAAACTGTCGGTAAAATAAAAATGGACCTATAGCTATTCATACACTCCCTCTTTCCCTTTTGAAGGCAAGGGAATTACACGTGCTTCTTTCCAAGCATTAATGATCGCTGTAAGGGCCATCGTGATAATAGCAGCACTGAATTTAAGAGGACGCAATAGAAAGTCATCCAGGTCAACCTCGTTTTTAGTTTTTAGCCCTCAAAGTTGTTTCAGGATGCAACGTTCGGAAACATCTTTATATATCAATTAAAAAAGAGGCCAATATTACCCAAAAAATAAACAATGGAGTTGAATGGCCTCTTCTTTATCCCTTTGAACAAGCAGTGATGTCTTCAAGTTAGTTTCCATTTTGTCTGACCTTGATCAGTTTCATCATACCTTTACTTAGATCTTTGTTTCTCCAGCAGTAAATAAGAGGATTAAAGAACGAGTTCAAAAAAATGCATAAAAAAATCGATCGGCAACCAATTTAACTGCTTTTCATAGAAATTCATGGGTTGCATACCGGCAATTTTGATTACCCCGTGCAAAATGCCTGGCATGTTTGAAAGGAACAGAATAGCGAATATTATACTGGTAGTTTTCAATGCTTTCCTTTCCTCCAGAAATTTGGCCTTCGTTATATTATACTTGGAAACTGTTGACTTGTGATCTGATTCATATGACGGCGTGAAACAAAATAAACTTTAGTATGACAAAACACATTTTATTAAAATCGCTGGAATACTAAGTAAGTAAGCAAGACGTCCTGGGAGCACGGTGCCAATTAACCTGGAAGTGGTCACGATGCTAGCATATCTAAGAGAATACTTCATGGCTATATAACGCTCAGTACTCAGTATAGCTAAAATTAGCAACAATTCAATACATGGAACAAGAAAAACAAAAACTGTCTTTCTGTAGAAGGTACAATAATCAACCAGCGATGCACCCGACAGGAAGAGGATTTCTTGCGCGATGAATAATGACTGTGAAACTATGCCCACCGCCAGATCTGTTCCTGCTAAACAAACCAGCAGTATGTTGTATTCGGACTGTAACCTAAGTCGCGTCAGTTTTTATTGCGACGATTACCAACATGTTTATCAGAATGTTCAGAATGTTCTGAACAACAGTAAGTTTTTCCAAGCGGTTTATCTTCCAGTATTCTGAGATATAGAAACGAATGATTAGCTATGGTCGAAAGAAATCAAATCAGTTTCTAAGGACAATAGACTACAGACGCTGCTGCCTGTCCGGAGAAATGAATTTCGTGTCTTAAGTGAACGTCGTAGAGAACGCACGTCATTTTAAGAGTACATACAAATATTAGAAAAGCAAATAAACTTCTGCGGATATCTCTTGGAAAGGAAATAGTTTTAAGCACTGAAAACTATACTGTTTTATAAAGTTAAGTATATTTTACTTATTTTATTTAAAGAGACTATTAATTCTGAATCTATAATCATGTCAATGCATGGTTCATGTAACTTTCGTTTGATTACGACATACGAAAAACCGCATTAATAATTCAAAATAGACTGATTAATGTTAAATAAGTGTCTATTTACCTAATGAAAACTTGAAAAGTCCAGCAAACTAAAAATATACATGTCTAAAAGAAAGTTTTTTAAGACTCCAATTTACCCACAGTTCTATAAAAATGTTAGCGTTGTAAAACCGAGATAAATTATCTTAAGTCAAAGAAGCGTAAGGCCTCGCGAACGATTTCGTTAACCTCCCAAACAATGGCCAACAATTAATTATAAACGAATCCTTGCTTAAAGCAAACATGAAAGCGACATTTTTATAAGCCGAATTGTGAGCTACACGCTTTCTTAACGCGTTTTAACTTGTCTAAACGTTTCTTGTAATCCGTGAATACATCCACTTGTTTGATATTGTTCGGTGTTTGCCGGACACGTGATGCTCCTCTCTTTTGTTGGTTTCAACGTTAACCCGGCCCATTCAGAGCCTCACTAGAATGCGCGCCATGAATGTCGCGTTTATTTTTTCCCAAACCTCTGGTGATAGAATTTTTTTCCTGACATACAACGGTGTAAGATTTTTGCCCCGTATTATGCATTTTTTTCCCTCGAAATCAGTCTGCAGGACATTTTAAACTGAAATCAACCACCCCTGGCCGGCCCCTCCCCCCTCAAAAGTGAAATGTTCGGTCCCTCAGCGTGTACCCACTGAAATAAAGCCCTTGCTTGCCCTTGCCTAGTCCCTGTACGGCGTCCTTCCCAGGCCTTCTCGGTCAATGCATTTTGGTGAAGTACCCGAGATGAACGACTGGGCCTCGAAAACTCGCTCGGACCTCGTGAACCGAAACGCATCGGCCGCGCGCAATAATGGAACTTAGGGACTAGGCAAATAAAGCCCCATACACCTGTGTACAACATTAAGCAATTGAAAGATGTGTCTCACAGTACAACTGTACAATGTGGCCAGTCAGTTTACCGATCATAATTTGGAGGCGTGCACAAATTCGATGCCTTTTTCCATACAGTATATACCAGTGTAATGAGTTCCAGTTAACTTTACATTGCACTTGTTAGCTGACGTGCATTACCTTCGTTTAAAACAAGAGGTGGCGCGAGTTGTCGCGAGTTGTAGGTCCTTTTCGACGTTTTTTAAGGTTTGCTGTATCAAAAGATGTTTTACTTTCATTAAGCAATGCATTCAGCTTTAATCCCGCGTAACAACTTTTCCACTAAAACGTCCAGTAAAGCTTAAAATAAAAGGCAAAGTAACTAGATTGTCTTACCAACCTTACAAGGATTAGATAAATAGCGAAGCGAACTGATAATTATACATAAAATCAGAAAATGTTAGATGCTTCTAAAAGGGTTCGAGTAGACAATGAAGTTGAAAATCGTCGTCGTGCGGCCTTGAACGTGCGATGACGTCATTTTAAGTTAGTTTCCATTTTGTCTGATGTTGAGTAGTTCCATCATAACTTTACGCAGATCTTTGTTTCTCCAACAGTAAATAAGAGGATTAAATAAGGAGTTCAAAAAATTACACAAAAAAACGATTGCCAACCAATGTAACTGCTTTTCATAGTAATTCCTGGGTTGGACTCCGGTAAGTTTGATTACCCCGTGTGAAATGCCTGGCACATATGAAAGGAACAGAAAGGCGATTATTATACTAGTAGTTTTCAAAGCTTTCCTTTCCTTTAAAAACTTAGCCTTCGTTTCGCTTGGGAGCCGTTGTGTTTTGATCTGATTCATATGACGGCGTGAAACAAAATAGACTTTAGTATGACAGCTAACGATAATTAAAGTGGCTGGAAAAATAGTTGCATAAACAAGTAGTCCTGAAAGCACGGAACGCGTTGCTGGTATTAACCAGAAAATTAAAGAACTGGTTGAAACAAGCCAACTACAAACTACAGCGCCAATTAACCTGGGAGTGGTCACGATGCTAGCATATCTAAGAGAATACTTCATGGCTATATAACGCTCAGTACTCAGTATAGCTAAGATCAGCAACGATTCAATACATGGAACAAGAAAAACAAAAACTGTCTTTCTGAAGAAGTCACAATAATCAACCAGCGATGCACCCGACAGGAAGAGGATTTCTTGTGCGATGAATAACGGCTGCGAAACTAAGCCCACCGCCAGATCTGTTCCCGCTAAACAAGCCAGTAGTATGTTGTACTCGGACTGTAATCTGCGTCTTGTTTTAATCGCGACGATCACCAACACGTTCATCATTATTATAACAGGACAGGATCCCAAGTTTAGGGCGATGGAGAACAAACTAATGACAGTGTTCTCCAAAAAATATTCCTTAAATCTTCCGCGGCAATTGATTGAATGATTACGTACGGAATCAGTGCTGGCGTTCATCTCTGTTTTTCAAGGGGATCTCACGTCTCTGAAACGTCGATATGTTTCAGTTTGTAAGTGCGTCCACAGTAGACAATCAGAGTAAAGCGACTGTGAAGACCGGGACCGATCTAGGTATTCACAGATACATCATGCCCAAGAAGTGCTTTTAACGGCTAACCTTTCAAATCCGATGAAGCCAGAATAAATCCGTCATTTCTTTTTTTTCCTATTTGCACATATACACTTATAACAAAATATAGAAAAGGGAATTAAAAGCGATTAAAGGGAGTACAGGATGCGATATTAAGAACATAGTTCATCTCAGAATCAAAAGCCTTAATTACTTTAGGGAGAATTCCGGTAATAAAGTCTCCTCTTTAAACGAACGTCCAGGACACGAATATCGTTTTGTAAAAGCAATTTGTCTTTTACTATTTTAAAATTAAAAAAATGAATTGAAAGAATTCCAACGAGTTTCTTAGGCTTAAAAACGAGACACTATCCATCGCCATGGCTTTACTGCCAAATTCGTTATGTCGCGCTGCGCGTTTTGCAATCTTCGAAGGGATTTTGGGTTTTTCTCATTTGAGTAGGGGCGGGGTTAATGTAAATCACAATGTTTGAACACACTCGCCCAGCTTGGCTCGCAAAAACAAAACTAAGAATGGCGAAGGAAATCGCGATGTTGAGTGGAATTTTTGTCGAGGAAAGGAGACAGACATTGCTTTATTCTTGCAAGTGACAAGAACAAGAAAGAACAGAAAAATCTTCTAATCGAACTAGTTGATTATAGCCCGAAACAGGACGATCACAAGCAACGAATCTTGAAAGACAGTAAATAAAGAAAACGCATCGAAATCCACCAACCACAAATCACAAGCCAAGACCTTTTAAACTCTTTCAAGTAAACATCTATTTCCTAAGAGGTCCCCTAAGATTATTGACGGTACAGAAAAACCCAAAAACTCCCTCGAAGTTTGCAAAACGCTCAGCGCGTACAACGAATTTGGCAGTAAAGTCAAGAGAACAATAGATTACAGCTGTTGCTGTCTATTTAAAATAGAAATGAATTTCGTCTCGGATACGTGAACGTCGAAGAGGATGCCCATCTATCCTCTGAGTATATAAAAAAATTGAGCAAAGCCAATAATCTTCCGTGGATATTGCGCCATAAGCACTTTTAAGCTGCTGTTTCAAATGATAATTTGAAAAAGGAAACTTTTTATTTCCCTTGAGCTCTCTTTTAGGAGACGATTTCAAAAAAAATTGTATCTAATGTGTGATGCAGGAAAGCCATGTCAATACATTGTGCACGGGAAAACGAAGTATTAAAGCACACAAAATTTAAAAGTTGCTAATAATTCATGAAAAAAAAACCTGAAATAGGCTCGGTTAATAATAAAAAACCTAAGAATTATTCGAAAACATAAACAGATTAAGAGGAAAGTATATGAAGTCAACCAATAAACTCGCCGCAGTTACATAAATATTTCTAACATTTGATAACTTGTTTCCGTCTCTGCCATTGGCGCCCTAAAAAGACTCGTATCATTGGATACGGCTAAAAACATTTATAATTCCCTCATGCAGCCACGTTTTGATTATTGTTACACAGTCTGGGATGGCACAAATAATCAATTAATTAGGAAACTTCAAAAGCTTTAAAATCGTATCGCCCGGGTCATAACAAAATAGAGGTGTGTTGTTAGTTTTTCTCCACTTCTACACATACTTGTGTGGGAAAACTTGATCTCCAACAGGCAAAAGCATAAGGCCATCTTGGTTTTGAAACCTTTACGTAATCTTGCTCCAGTGTATCTCCGCCAAATGTTTTGCTCATTTAGTGCTAATTATGATCCAAGAAACTTGGCACAATAAACATGTTATGCTCCCTTGAAAAACTTTATCATACTACACCCTTACCTAAAGCGAGAGTCTAGATTCGTGAAAAATTGGGATAGGAATGCTTTCCTCTTTCTCTCTTGGATGCTGGAAAAAGATGAAACCCGTTTTCCAAACAATAAATCCGACATTGGTGGAACTAGCAATATCCACCTCTTCAAGACGAAGACGGAAACTCATTTCTGATTCCAGCATTGCGGATACACTCAACGACTTCTTTGTGAACCCAAGAATACATAAAAAGGAAGAGGACTTCGATAACCATCCGAGCATTATAACAACTAAGGGCAAATCGTATCGAGTTGATTTCGCTTTTATGGAAATCACTACAGAAAACGTAACAGATTGCTTATTAAAGATAAATACTGAGAAATATACCGACCCTGATGGTTCCTCACCAAATATCTAAAAGTAGAAAGTTTTAGAATGCTTAAAGTATCTGCTTCAGCCATAGCCTCTCCACTAGCCAATCTGTATTCGCATTAGGGCCCAGCAAATGAAAAAAGAGCAATGTAACCCCTTTCCACAAAAAGGTTGAAGCGACAGACAAAAATAATTACCGACCTGTCAGTGCCCTCTCCGCAGTCTCCAAGCTTTTCGAAAAAGTGATGTTTGGTCAACTGTACACTTCCTTTGCATCAAATTTCTCACGTAATATGTCAGGCTTTCTCAAGGGACATTCTTGCGCTACAGTGTTGATCAAATTAACAGATCATGATTGGAAACGCGCTCTTGATGAAAAGAAAGATGTGAGTGTGGCTGCCATCGATCTATCAAAGGCTTTCGACTGCATTTTTGCCACAATTTGCTCCTTGCAAAATTAAAAGAATAGGGCGAACAAGAGCCAGCCCTTCAAATTATAACATCATATTTTGATAACCTCAAACAAAGGGTAATATGCAACGATTCATGCTCTAACTGGTCACCTCCACGCTGTGGTGTCCCTCAGGGTAGTCTCCTTAGTCCCTTATTGTTTAACATTTTTATGACTGACATCAACGAAACCGTGCCCGTCTCGTCACTCCGCCGCTACGCAGACGACACTACCCAATATGCGGCGGACAACAGCCCGATTGTGCTTCAATACACCTTAAATAAAGACATGGAAAGTGTTTCATCCTGGCTTGACCACAATTATCTTCATGCCAATGGGGACTAGACACAAGGGATGATCGGCCTTGGAAACTCATCTTACATTTATAACCTAGAATTTGATGGCATCTCCAACAAAGAACACTTTAAGATTTATAAGAATATATATTGCTAAAGAAAGCATACTCTAAATTAACTACACTTCGACGCCTTAAGCGCTTAGTTCCAACAAATACTTTATTGGTCCTTTACAAGAGCTTTGAATTTTCGCATTTTGAATATTGTAATTCGTTAGTTATCGGCGTTAACAAGACACTCAAAAAAGAATTGGAAGATGATAATCATTACGGGTTAGGAGCAATAATGAACACTGGAAAAAATTCTGATTATGAGTCTCTCTTCAAGATCGAGGATATGAATTCACTTGAACACAGACGTATGGAACTGAATCACTGACAATATTCTTTAAATGCTTTAAGGAGAATGGATCCAAATGGATCATGTTATATAGGTAATTTACTTAAACCTTTTTCACACCTTACGATCTTAGAAGTAATGGGCTGAATGTAGAACATGATTCGTTTATGCATATATTATCCAGACCCTGAAATAAGGTGGGGGGAAGCCGGTCTCACAGAAAATTTTCTTCGGCCCTTCGGGCCTCAGTTTGGTCTAAAGATAAACGGGGAGGCCGGGCCCCCGGGTCGCTCCCCTGGATCCCCCACTGTTATCTCTCGTATCTGAAACCGACTGCAAGCATTCGTAAAGAACGCCCGTGATGTTGCATCTTTTCGCAGACATTAAAGAAACTGAACTTCAATGCACCTATCAATATTATGCCGGCGGGGCGGGGAGGTAGGGCATGGGGTGAGGATTTGATTGTCGTTGTTGGCCCTGGGGTAGGGCATTTGACTGAACTTGTTCTCCCAGGGGAGGGGATATTTGAGTCTTTCTTCGCCCGACGTGGAAACTGAGGACTCGGACAAAAAAGACTGAGACCGAACATATGTTTCCCACTTCCACGCTTCACGCATGCGCCGTACGGTCTGGAAAGATCTGCAAATCATGGAGGCCAACGAGAACAAGCGAAAGCTGAGTGGGTTTCACTGTTTTGTCTTCAAATTTCGTATCATGTGTTTTAGCGTGCTTTCGATCAATTGAACTTCTTAAGATACTGTGGTAGCAAAGTAAACGAAAGTAAAGAGAAACCAAGTCCATTTTTGCTAGTATAATTGATCAGTGTATGTATGGCTCATTCCCTTCAATCACTGTAAGCTTATAAAATTGACTTTCTTTGTACCCTTTACCAAGAACGGTATATTCAAACTTACAAAATGTGGACTTTCTCCAAAAGGTTTCTGTATTCTACGCAGTGTAACATGGATTATGGTTAAAATGTATAATTGTAGCTGTAACTGAACATGTGCTGGTGATGCAGCAACGTAATATAAATAAAGATTGCAGAGTTTTATTTGGAGATATTTTTATTGTGCGTTTATTGGGTTCTGCCTTCGGATATTTGACAGCAAAATGCAGCCCGGGGTGGGTAAATTTGGTTGCAATTGACTGGAATGATTTGCCCGTGGGCAGGGAATTTGACTGCAAATTTTTGAAAAGTGTCAAATCCCCACCCCATGCCCTGCCTACCCCCCGCTCCTCATAGGTAATAAACGACCAGTCCCTTCGTACTTGTAAACCATGTACATGAACTACAGCTAAGCAATGCCGTCATTTTAAGTCATCTTCCATGTTGTCTGATCTTGATCAGTTCCAGCATAACTTTACGTAGATCTTTGTTTCTCCAGCAGTATATCAGCGGATTAAACAGAGAGTTCAAAAACACGCACAAAAATGCTATAGGCAATAAACGCATCTGCTTTTCATACTGATTCTTGGGGAGGATACCGATTAGCCTAAACAAGCCGTCCAAAATGCCTGGTATATATGAAAAAAATAGAAAAGCGAGAATTATACTGATGGTTTTCAAGGCTTTCCTTTCCTCGAGGAATTTGGCCCTCGTTTCGCTTGGAAGCTGTTGAGTTTTGATCTGATTCATATGTCGGCGTGAAACAAAATAAACTGTTGTATGACAAAACATAATCACTAAAATGGCAGGAGTAACAGTAAGATACACAAGACGTCCTGAAAGCGTGGAACGTGTCGCTGGTATTATCCAGAAAATGAAAGACATAGTTGAAATAAACCAACTACAAACTACAGCGCCAATTAACTTAGGCGTGGTCACGATGCTAGCATATCTAAGAGAATACTTCATGGCTATATAACGCTCAGTACTTAGTATAGCTAAGATCAGCAACGATTCCGTACATGGAACAAGATAAACGAAAACTATTCGTCTATAGAAGCGGCAATAATCCACCAGTGAGGCACCCGACAGAAAGTAGATTTCTTGTGCGATGAACAACGGCTGTGAAACTAAGCCCACCGCCAGATCTGTTCCCGCTAAACAAGCCAGTAGTATGTTGTACTCGGACTGTAATCTGCGTCGTGTTTTTATCGCTACGATCACCAACACGTTCATGAAGATGATAACAGGGCATGATCCTAAGTTCACCGTGATAGAAAACAAACTTGCGAAAGTGTTCACCAAAATGTATATATACTCGTCTTCTCTACTGCGGCAAATAATTGATACGTTAAGTGCAGAATTCTGACTGACGTTAAAGTTCATCCCCATTTATTTTGAGAGAATGTCACTGCCTTTGAAGGAGTTAATATTTTTCAACTTGTAATTATATAAGTAAACAGCGACTAAGCAGAGTGAAACGACTCTGAACGCTGATCTCGTGAAAGATAGATCGATACATCATGTTCAAAGTCACCGAAGAGTATTTTTAACGGCTTTCTAAAGTCGTTAAAAGTTTTGAAAGCTGATATAAGGCAAGAATAAATCCTTCATTACTTGTGATTTCCTTTCTGCAAAATATTTAGAATTACAATGACGACAGTCTTTAAATAAAGAAAGTTGAAGACGAATTACAAGAGATTAACGCCAAAGGACGTCTTCTTTCAAATACACACTTTACCCATACAAGCGGAAGGCTGTATAGTTAACGAGCGATTAAAAAATAGCCTTAAATTTAAAATTAAAGCCTATATTAGTTCAGAGCAAACCTCGGTAATAAATCGCCTCTCAAAAGAAAATTATGGGCAGCTATTCTTTTGCTGAGTCATTCATGGCTCTAAGTACCAAAAGCCGAAAAAAAAAAAAAGAAAATGCCAAAATTGAACTTATCAGATGTGTTTCGGAAGGCTTAGAAATTGGTCACTATAATTCATCCATTCTTCCTGATGATTTTGGAAACGCTCCATAGTCCCTTCTCAGAATCCACGGATTACACTGCCACACGTTAATAAAAGGTAATTCTTGTCGGTTTACCTGAATGATCCTCGATAAAAATGCTTTACTGACAAATCTCCCATCATTTTTAATTAGTAAGTCCTTCAAAAAAATGCTAAGTACATAATCCTTCCTGGATATTGGGTCATTTTCAAACAAACATCACCAGTTTACGCACTTAAAAGCTCCCCTGTGTTTTGTGAGTTGTGTTTTTACTGTCACTCAATAGGATGATTGATACTGAATTGATTCTGAAACTAGTATGACGCAGATAATCTATGACAATACACCTTGCAATGCAAAAAGCTATATTAAAACACACGAAATATAAGAAAAATATATTTAATAATTCATAAAGGAGATACAGAATTATTTGCTTAATATTCTATGGGTTTTTCTTTTCATGTGATAAGGGCACTGCTAAGTTTTAAGCTCTGATCTTTTTCTCCTAAGAATTTTTCTTCTTGCGATTATTGAAAAAATGAACCATGAATCCATCGATCTAGAAGTCTCTTAACTCTCCAATGAACTCCTCCTTTTATAAAAACTGAGTGAAATCAATTTTGTCAATTAAGGGTGAAAGACAGCACAGAAAAAAAATAGGCGATTGCATTAATGCCAAAATAAGAAGTGAAATTTGCGGTACACACTGGGCGCTTTTCATTCCATTCAACGTGCCCAATGGAACGGTAAACTATACATCCAGGTTGACAGACCCGACCCAAGCCACCACGCGTTTGGTTATTTTTCTTGTAAGCAGGACAAGAATGAAATGAGTCAAAGACAAACTGGTCAAAGACAAACTTTAATTTGTGTCGACCTAAATTAAGTTAAGTTCGTCTTTTGGGTCAGACGTAGAACTTTAGGACGCGTCGCACGAGGCAACTGAATCAGATCATTAATAAATTTTCTCCCGAAAGAGGCTAAATATACTTTTAATTTATTATCTTAGTTCGTCGCATGTGAAGATCGACGTTTGGCCCAGGAGACGATCTTCAGACGGACAGAACGTGTTGGACGCCCGGCAAACTCATTCAGACGAACTTAACTGAGCCAGACGTCGAACATTTCAATCATGCCTTTAGCTCACTAAGTTTGGTTCGTCTCATGAAAAGTTCGATGTTTGGCCTAGGCCTTGGTTATATTTACAAGAGACGATTAATTCTGAATCTGGTACGTGACGTAAAGGATAAAGGAAGGATTAAAACGCACAAGTATAAAAAATTTTATTTAGATTAATAATTCATAACGAAAATATAACAAAACAATTAATGCTTAATGGTGTTTGTTTAACCAAGCCAAAGCTGTTTGTTTGGGTCAAATTTTCTCGGCATGCAACAGCATTAACAGAAACGTCTAGTAGTTGTACATTATTGTTTGGATAAATCACTCCTGGTTTATTACACATCACATAAAGTATATATTACAATTACAAAACTGAGCAAAATGAAATTGTCGGTAAATCACCATATAAAGAACCTCTATTAAGTCACCATTTGTCTCTCTCCTGAAGATGGCAGCTTAATAAAAGTTCCATCTTGTGATGAAAAGGGAACTGAATTCAGCAGTAAACTCCATACCTCTGAGTTCGAGAACAAAAAGCTTAAACACCTTTTGAAATTCGATGAAATAAAATCTTTTATAAGGTAATTTAGTCTTGTAGCTTTAATTTGATATGTAACTTGCCTTTGTAGCGAAAATACTCGCGCGACTAGAATTTTTTTCTGTGGGCACCTCGTTTTCCTTTACCGAGACCTTAATCGATCGATACATATTTATTCCAAGGAGTGTTTTTAACGGCTTGAGAAGTGGTTTTAACGGCTTAAAAATATTGGGCTGGAACAAACCCTTCACCGTTTTTTTATTTACTCTTTGAACATATACACTTGCAATGAAATTCTTGTGATAACAAAGAGGGAATTAAATGTTATTAAGGCAGTGTTTCATGTGATAATAAATGAAAATTCGTAATAAATTGAAGTACAATTTCGGTGCTAGATCTTCTCTTCAAACGAATGTTCTGGATACCAATAAGTCACATTTTTCAAGCAGGTATAGAAAAATGATTGGAAGAAAACAAATTAAAGTTAGAGTTGCTATGACTTAAAAACTAGACACTGTCCAACGCGGCTTTCAATAGACTACAGGTGTATGGTGGCCGACAACTGCCATTCGTCAAAACGACATAAATTTGTTAATTTTAGATTGAACTTTAATTATTTTGAGTTTAAAATGAAGTGAAAGTAAAACGCAAAGTTATTTTCTTTTCTATTGAATTGAAAATAGACTCTTTTTATTATTATTATTTTCAAGACAAAACAAAACATTTTTATTATGAAATGAAAATAAAAGTAAAAGTTAAATAAAAGCAGAAAAAAAATTGATATGTTCACGGCTAGGAACTGCCATTCAAAACAGAAAATGTCAATTAAGATTAGTATGTTCATGGCCGGGAACTGCCATTCAAGACAGAAATGTAAAATTAATATGTTCATGGCCGGGAACTGTGATGTAATCAGTATATTCTACGGTTCGCAGAGAAGGCGCATAATGAACATGATACGAAGAATTTTTGTATAATTCTTTCTACCTTACAAAAGCCGAATTCAATAATTGTTTTTTATTCATTCAAAATATTTCTAAGTTCTTAACGCAATCACTTCCTTGTAGACTTTCTTCAAATCATTTGCTTCTTTCTTAGCCTGCATAGCAAGCGTTTCCGCGCGAGTTCGTCGAGAAAGTTGGGACGACAGCAAAAAAAAAAAGGAATGAGGGGGGAGGGGGAAGGGAGTGCAGCCTATTAATTTGCCTAGTAGTGCGATCGTGTACGGAGCAGTGAAAAGTGAAATAGTTTTAGAGGAATTGTGGACAGTTACTAGGCATCTTTTAACTGACAAGTTCATTAACATGGTTCTCTCGTCTAAAGCTTTTTCACTGTCACCGATTTTAAAACAATTTTAGCGGCACGTGTTTGAACTACACAGCTCTCCAGTGACGCGCTGTTACCTACTCCGCGCAGCAATTCCACACGGTGTCACAATGATAGCCCATGACAGGACGAATATAAGCTGTGTAAATGGAATTAGCGCAGTCTGATGTGACACTTCCCCAGACGAGTCCTAGTATTCCCCTGATACGTCCACTCTTTTATCAGCTCGGGATAACACTTACTTAACATGGGAATTCCAAGTAATATGGTTATCAAATACAACCCCTAAAAAATTGAACTCATATACACGCTTGGTGGATCGACCCTTAAAGTCCTGAAGCCACACTGATGTGGGCTCAAAATGTTAATATGCTTTCGTAAGTAATCACATACACAGCGCTCTCCAGCAGTTTAGAAACTGTCGGTAAAATAACAATGGACCTATAGCTATTCATACACTCCCTCTTTCCCTTTTGAAGGCAAGGGAATTACACGTGCTGCTTTCCAAGCATTAATGATCGCTGTAAGGGCCTTCGTGATAATAGCAACGTAACACTGACTTTAAGAGGACGCAATAGAAAGTCATCCAAGTCAACCTCGTTTTTAGTTTCTAGCCCTCAAAGCTGTTTCAGGATGCAACGTTCGGAAACATCTTTATATATCAATACAAAAAGAGGCCAATATTACCCAAAAAATAAACAATATGGAGTTGAATGGCCTCTTCTTTATCCCTTTGAACAAGCAGTGATGTCTTCAAGTTAGTTTCCATTTTGTCTGACCTTGATCAGTTTCATCATACCTTCACTTAGATCTTTGTTTCTCCAGCAGTAAATAAGAGGATTAAAGAACGAGTTCAAAAAAATGCATTAAAAAATCGATCGGCAACCAATTTAACTGCTTTTCATAGAAATTCATGGCTTGCACACCCCGTGCAAAATGCCTGGCATATTTGAAAGGAACAGAATAGCGAATATTATACTGGTAGTTTTCAATGCTTTCCTTTCCTCCAGGAATTTGGCCTTCGTTATGCTTGGAAACTGTTGACTTGTGATCTGATTCATATGACGGCGTGAAACAAAATAAACTTTAGTATGACAAAACACATTTTATTAAAATTGCTGGAATACTAAGTACGTAAGCAAGGCGTCCTGGGAGCACGGTGCCGCGTATTCCCGATATAAACGAGAAAAATAAGCCAACAACAAACTACAGCGCCAATTGACCTGGAAGTGGTCACGATGCTAGCATATCTAAGAGAATACTTCATGGCTATATAACGCTCAGTACTCAGTATAGCTAAAATTATCAACGATTCAATACATGGAACAAGAAAATCAAAAACTGTCTTTCTGTAGAAGTTACGATAATCAACCAGCGATGCACCCGACAGGAAGAGGATTTCTTGCGCGATGAATAATGACTGTGAAACTAAGCCCACCCCCAGATCTGTTCCTGCTAAACAAACCAGCATTATGTGGTATTCGGACTGTAACCTACGTCGCGTCAGTTTTTATTGCGACGATTACCAACATGTTTTTCAGAATGTTCAGAATGTTCTGAACACCAGTAATCCAGGCGGTTTATCTTCTAGTATTCTGAGATATAGAAACGAATGATTAGCTATGGTCGAAAGAAATCAAATCAGTTTCTAAGGACAATAGACTACAGACGCTGCTGGCTGTCCGGAGGAATGAATTTCTTGTCTTAAGTGAACGTCGTAGAGAACGCACGTCATTTTACTGAGTACATAAAAATATTAGAAAAGCAAATAATCTTCTGCGGATATCTCCTGGAAAGGAAATAGTTTTAAGCACTGAAAACTATACTGTTTTATAAAGTAAAGTATATTTTACTTATTTTATTTAAAGAGACTATTAATTCTGAATCTATAATCATGTCAATGCATGGTTCATGCAACTTTCGTTTGATTAAGACATACGAAAACCACATTAATAATTCAAATTTAAATAGACTGATTAATGTTAAATTAGTGTCTATTTACCTAATGAAAACTTGAAAAGTCCAACAAACTAAAAATATACATGTCTAAAAGAAAGTTTTTCAAGACTCCAATTTACCCACAGTTCTATAAAAATGTTACCGTTGTAAAACCGAGATAAATTATATTAAGTCAAAGAAGCGTAAGCTCTCGCGAACGATTTCGTTAACCTCCCAAACAATGGCCAACAATTAATTATAAACGAATCCTTGCTTAAAGCAAACATAAAAGCGACATTTTTATAAGCCGAATTGTGAGCTACACGCTTTCTTAACGCGTTTTAACTTGTCTAAACGTTTCTTGTAATCCGTGAATACATCCAGTTGTTTGATATTGTTCGGTGTTTGCCGGACACGTGATGCTAAATCTCTCTTTTGTTGGTTTCAACGTTAACCCGGCCCAACCAGAGCCTCACTAGAATGCGCGCCATGAATGTCGCGTTTATTTTTTCCCAAACCTCTGGTGATAGAATTTTTTTCCTGACATACAACTGTGTAAGATTTTTTCCCCGTATTATGCATTTTTTTCCCTCAAAATCAGTCTGCAGGACATTTTTTTCTGAAATCAACCACCCCCGGCCGGCCCCTCCCCCCTCAAAAGTGAAATGTTCGGTCCCTCAGCGTGTACCCACTGAAATAAAGCCCTTGCTTGCCCTTGCCTAGTCCAAGCCTAGTCCCTGTACGGCGTCCTTCCCAGGCCTTCTCGGTCAATGCATTTGGTGACGTAACCGAGATGAACGACTGAGCCTCGAAAACTCGCTCGGACCACGTGAACCGAAACGCATCGGCCGCGCGGAATAATGGAACTTAGGGACTAGGCAAATAAAGCCCCATACACCTGTGTACAACATTAAGCAATTGAAAGATGTGTCTCACGGTACAACTGTACAATGTGGCCAGTCAGTTTACCGATCATAATTTGGAGGCGTGCACAAATTCGATGCCTTTTTTCCATACAGTATATACCAGTGTACTGAGTTCCAGTTAACTTTACATTGCACTTGTTAGCTGACGCGCATTACCTTCGTTTAAAACAAGAGGTGGCGCGAGTTGTCGCGAGTTATAGGTCCTTTTCGACGTTTTTTAAGGTTTGCTGTATCAAAAGATGTTTTACTTTCATTAAGCAATGCATTCAGCTTTAATCCCGCGTAACGACTTTTCCACTAAAACGTCCAGTAAAGCTTAAAATAAAAGGCAAAGTAACTAGATTGTCTAACCAACCTTACAAGGATTAGATAAATAGCGAAGCGAACTGATGATTATACATAAAATCAGAAAATGTGAGATGCTTCTAAAAGGGTTCGAGTAGACAATGAAGTTGAAAATCGTCGTCGTTATAGCCTTGAACGTGCGATGACGTCATTTTAAGTTAGTTTCCATTTTGTCTGATGTTGAGTAGTTCCATCATAACTTTACGCAGATCTTTGTTTCTCCAACAGTAAATAAGAGGATTAAATAAGGAATTCAAAAAATTACACAAAAAAACGATTGCCAACCAATGTAACTGCTTTTCATAGTAATTCCTGGGTTGGACTCCGGTAAGTTTGATTACCCCGTGTGAAATGCCTGGCACATATGAAAGGAACAGAAAGGCGATTATTATACTAGTAGTTTTCAAAGCTTTCCTTTCCTTTAAAAACTTAGCCTTCGTTTCGCTTGGGAGCCGTTGTGTTTTGATCTGATTCATATGACGGCGTGAAACAAAATAGACTTTAGTATGACAGCTAACGATAATTAAAGTGGCTGGAAAAATAGTTGCATAAACGAGTAGTCCTGAAAGCACGGAACGCGTTGCTGGTATTAACCAGAAAATTAAAGAACTGGTTGAAACAAGCCAACTACAAACTACAGCGCCAATTAACCTGGGAGTGGTCACGATGCTAGCATATCTAAGAGAATACTTCATGGCTATATAACGCTCAGTACTCAGTATAGCTAAGATCAGCAACGATTCAATACATGGAACAAGAAAAACAAAAACTGTCTTTCTGAAGAAGTCACAATAATCAACCAGCGATGCACCCGATAGGAAGAGGATTTCTTGTGCGATGAATAAGGGCTGTGAAACTAAGCCCACCGCCAGATCTGTTCCCGCTAAACAAGCCAGTAGTATGTTGTACTCGGACTGTAATCTGCGTCTTGTTTTAATCGCGACGATCACCAACACGTTCATCATTATTATAACAGGACAGGATCCCAAGTTTAGGGCGATGGAGAACAAACTAATGACAGTGTTCTCCAAAAAATATTCCTTAAATCTTCCGCGGCAATTGATTGAATGATTACGTACGGAATCAGTGCTGGCGTTCATCTCTGTTTTTCAAGGGGATCTCACGTCTCTGAAGCGTCGATATGTTTCAGTTTGTAAGTGCGTTCACAGTAGACAAGCAGAGCAAAGCGACTGTGAAGACCGGGACCGATCTAGGTATTCACAGATACATCATGCCCAAGAAGTGCTTTTAACGGCTAACCTTTCAAAACCGATTAAGCCAGAATAAATCCGTCATTTCTTTTTTTTCCTATTTGCACATATACACATAAAAAAATATAGAAAAGCTAATTAAAAGCGATTAAAGGGAGTACAGGATGCGATATTAAGAACATAGATCATCTCAGGATTAAAAGGCCTTAATTAATTTAGGGAGAATTCCGGTGATAAAGTCTCCTCTTTAAACAAACGTCCAGGACACGAATAATGTTTGTTAAAAGCAGTTTGTCTTTTACTATTCTAAAATTTAAAAAAGGTATTGGAAGAATTCCAACGAGTTTCTTAGGCTTAAAAACGAGACACTATCCATCGCCATGGATTTACTGCCAAATTCGTTATGTCGCGCTGCGCGTTTTGCAATCTTCGAAGGGATTTTGGGTTTTTCTCATTTGAGTGGGGGCGGGGTTAATGCAAATCACAATGTTTGAACACACTCGCCCAGCTTGGCTCGCAAAAACAAAACTGAGAATGGCGAAGGAAATCGCGATGTTGAGTGGAATTTTTGTCGAGGGAAGGAGACAGACATTGCTTTATTCTTGCAAGTGACAAGAACAAGAAAGAACAGAAAAATCTTCTAATCGAACTAGTCGATTATAGCCCGAAACAGGACGATCACAAGCAACGAACCTTGCAACACAGTAAATGAAGAAAACGCATCGAAATCCACCAACCACAAATCACAAGCAAAGACCTTTTAAAATCGTTCAAGTAAACATCTATTTCCTAAGAGGTCCCCTAAGATTATTGACGGTACAGAAAAACCCAAAAACTCCTTCGAAGTTTGCAAAACGCTCAGCGCGATACAGCGAATTTGGCAGTAAAGTCAAGAGAACAATAGATCACAGATGTTGCTGTCTATTTAAAATAGAAATGAATTTCGTGTCGGATACGTGAATGTCGAAGAGGATGCCCATCAATCCACTGAGTGCATAAAAATATTGAGCAAAGCCAATAATCTTCCGTGGATATTGCGCCATAAGCACTTTTAAGCTGTTGTTTCATATGATAATTTGAAAAAGGAAACTTTTTTTCCTTTGAATGAGCTCTCTTTTAGGAGACGATTTCAAAAAAATTGTATCTAATGTATGATGCAGGAAAGCCATGTCAATACAATGTGCACGAAAAACGAAGTATCAAAGCACACAAAATTTAAAAGTTGCTAATAATTCATGAAAAAACAGCTGAAATAAGTTCGGTTAATAATAAAAAACCTAAGAATTATTCGAAAAAATTAACAGATGAAGAGGAAAGCAAAAAAAGTCAACCAATAAACTCGCCGCAGTTACAAAAATATTTCTAACATTTGATAACTTGTTTCCGTCACTACCAAATTCTTGCTAAAACTCGTAGTAGAATGACGACGGCTATCACGTTTTCCCGCCAAAAACATTTTTGCGAAAACCCTCCTTCTTCATCAACGTGTTATACCACGATACACTTGGTTGAAATGCTGTTCGATGAGCGGAAAATGACTTCTGATTAGCCTTCCGATTTCCGATGCGGTGCTCGGCAAAGGAACTTTTCGCCAGCTCGCGAGCTCCTTTTGTACGGCCATCCCAAAAAATGTTTCGTTTTCCATCGCCCCGTCTCTTGTGATGGTGGGTCGGTCGGTCGAACAACAAAAAAAAAGAATGAACACTTGAAGGGGTCTCGGTTCCAGAGAAGGCCGGGCTGCTAAGGAAGAAAGCCTGCTTACAAAGTACCCTTGCCTAGTCCTGTACGGTGTCTTCCCAGGCCTTCTCGGTCAATGCATTTTGGT